AGGGACTAGGGGTAGGGTCACGAATAAAAGACGAATCGTATACAAGAGACCGTCGCTTGCTCGCGTTAGCATCCCCAGCGGGCTCTTGCTGAACCCCAGACCTTGCGACAGATTGCGACTCCTTTGGCAACGAAGTGGGAGATACAGGCTCATCTGACAGTTGGTCTTGCGATCGCGTAGAACCGCGGGACAGCCCAAATTTCTTGCTAAATGACGGAACACTGAAATTTGGAAGCGGAGAAGGGCTCTTCAGATATGATGCATCTCCTATCAGGGACCGCGGCCGCGTCGGGACCTCGACATCCTTGACTTGACGGTCCGACTGCGTCTCTGAGTATGAGTACATAGATCGTCGATTCCGGCTAGATGCGGCAGGAGTCTTGCGGCGTGGTCGTGGGCCAGCAGACTGAGATTGGACAGGAGAAAGAGCAGGCGAAGGCCCCTGGGAACTGGAAACGGTAGGAGTGCTCCCAGAAAGGTGGGTTGTATATTCGTGAATCGTATCGGCATCCCTCTGAGTAGTAGAAGTCGATATAGACAGCGAGTCTGAGGAAGGCATCGACCGGCGGTTCATCGCCTTCGTCATCTGGCTATTCATCGAATTGGTCATCTCTTGGTGCGAATATTTTCTCTGAATCGATGAAGCAGGCGAACGTCTGGTGGGTGTCTGTACTGGCCCGGGAATGTGGCTCGAATCGTTGAGGCTCGATTTTCGTGAGCGCAGATCGTTCGCAACCATCAGAGGTCTGTTATATACTTGGGGAGCTTTGTCATCATCGTCGGATGCACTCTCTGGGACGTATTTCTTTCCTCCAAGCGACTCGATCTCTTTCCTCAAGGTAACCAGCCACGAATTCATCTCCTCGGGGTTCGTGAAGACCATGAAAAAGCTTCTCGTCGACCTTCGCGAATCAGCACTGTGAAATCCGAATCGGGACAGCAAGCCTCGTGGGCTGTCCATGGCGACACTGCCATCTTCATATGATGTTTGCGATATCTGCAAAACCCAGGGCTTCCCGGGAATTGCATCGCTGGCAAATGCTGCCGATGCCGGCCCCAGCCGCAACATCTTCTCAGGCAGTCGATCAAAACTCCCTTCGCCGGCGTATTGCAAGAGAAATCCCGAGGTCACAAGGATGAATATCTTCTTCGTCCACAGGGTCTTGCTGATGGAACCGGATATCTTCCTCTCATGCTTCCTCTTCTCTTTCTCCTCTTTTTTCTTCTTCGCAGCGCTCGTAGCTGCCGAAGCGTGGTTTTGCGAGCTGCCATCTTGCGTCTCTTCTACGGCATCGCTGTTTCTTCTCGCAGCCTGGATGCGCAGAATGGAATCTGCCGAAAGGGCCGGAGTCAAAAGACAAGCATGTTTGATTGACTGCGGATACGCCTGAAAAAGGGGCGGTGGAGTCCACGTGGAAGTGACCGGATGGAGCGGCTTCTGCTTGTCCTTCTTCGCTGGTGTCTTGGACTGATCCCCGGTGCTTCTGGTTTGTATCGTGGGCGACGCGACTACCGTAGGCGTGGTGACCCCAGTGCTGGTAGGGGAGAGGGGAGTCTCCGCTGCGGATGCACTCTCTGTTGCCGATCCCCGCCGCTCGCCCACCCCAGCAAGGTTGTTGTTTTGTCGCTTGGAGTCGCGAACTGATTTTTTGCGGGTAAAAAGGCTCCTCAAGTTGGTCTTGGAGGATTGACGCTTGGGATGCGGTGATTGAAGCGGGACTCGTTCAGCCGAACCATGGCCAGCATCGTTCGGTCGCGGGCGCTGAGGGCGAGGTTTCTGGAGAACAGGGGAATCGTGAACTGGTCGAGGAAGGTCTGTTCGTATGGGGGCAAGTGGTGGCCCTCGACGGGGAATCGCCGACCTGGGCGAGTGTTGAGCATCCATGACTGAAGCTGGAGGAAAAGATCTCGCAGGCTGAGAGGTGTTCGACCGTTCTATGACCAATCGCGAGTATCAGAGGTATATCTCGTTCATCCTTCCCCTTTAATGCCAGACGTTTGAGGATTGATGATCCGTGTCGCAGGAGTGAGCGCGATACTATGACACAACATCAAATCTTCATCCTGTTCAATTGTGCAAAGACTGCTGTGTAGATACTCTTCGGGCAAGCACCGGACGTAATTTCATGTGAGATGCGAAACGAGTTGTAAACTTTTGCGACAATTGCACCGGGGAGTTTTTCTTCAACAAACGTCATAGCAGATTTGGTCGGGCAGACGGTCCAGCTGCTAGTCGCGAATACGAGCCGCTAACTACACAGGAGCTTAGGAGATTTCCAAAGATGGTAACAAGATGAAGATTGTCAAAACTGTCATGCTTGACAGGGTAGCGAAACCTTGACAGACATGATACAGTACAGAATATGGCATTCAGGCATTATTATTAATCACGGGGGGAAATCAGAGCTTTTGAAAAACAAGAGCCTGCAACGGCCCGTGGGTACCTGGACGCGCAGACAATGCGTCCCACAGCTCGTCGAGCTTGGGCCAAGCCCTAGAACTTTGTTATAAAAAAGGAGCATAGCTGCACAGGGCCGGGAACGGCGAGGCGCGCTACCTGAGCCCTGGGCACAGGAGGTGGCATAGTTAAAGCTTACTCCGTAGCGGCCGAGTGAGGGCCCGAACCAATTACTACGGTCGATGCATGGATCATGGATGAAGTTCTCACGGCAGAATGGCGAGTGACATTGGCAATAGCGTCCGGAATCGTTGAGCTCTATTCCCGAGGAGAATAGTTATCACATTGGCGGGGTGGCGTTGATAATAATGGATTGACAAATCTTTTCTCATGCACAATTCCTGCATGACGGGCACATTGCAGGAATATGGGGTAAGCCACGTTTCGACTTGTCTCACCAACCCACCTGGAAGATGGCGACTGCTGGACCACCAGGGACAATGGCGACAGTCTCGATGGAGCAATTGCTCTGATTCTGCGCTGCACTGAGTCCGGATGTTGCTCTCGGGAGAGACTTGAGGCCTTGAATGAACGTCGCTTCCAAAATTCCGCGTTAGCACGATGTCTTCAACAAGCTAAAGCAGACTAAGCGTGACAGAAAACCGTACTCGGATGCCAGCTGCAGCCCAGTCGCAACTAACGCTCAAGTCCAACTAAGGAGCCCTTGCTGGCGAAGTCCATTGGGCCACTACTCTTAGCCCCAGGGGCAATCTGCGCCAGGCCCGGATCGTCGAAGTTTGATGCCCCCAGCAAATTGCCCAGTTTGGCTTGGCTGGCTGCTCAGGTAGGCGTGAAGGTGAAAAAAGCCCCAAAGGCCAAGACGCAACAGCTTCGACTCGGCCCACTGGGGCGGGTCTCCTCCGCAGCGCAGCAGAGATCGGCCCTCAGCTCAGGGCCAGCCGGCCAGGAGCTCCGGCCAGCCAGCGCGTTATCACAGTGATGGATGGTCGCGATCGTCGAGGCGGGTTGTCAGACACGGCAATGGTCTTCTGGCGCATCTCGTATTATTGCCTGTAGTGCAGCACAGCGCAGCACCCCATGCATGCACCGCAGCAAGGCACGGCACGGGATTGAGATTGAGCAAACAAAGAAGAGAAAGAAGCTCGACGCGACTACTCTGTAGAGCATGCGCCGCGAGAACTAACAGGCTAACAGGCTAACAGCGCGCCTGGGACGGTGTCATGGTAGGCGAAGGTTGCCGGGATCCCAGCGATGTGGAACGGGCGAGGCGAAGGATCGAAGCGAGCGGAACTGCCCTTCCGGCTGGGTGAGTCCGCACGAGGCGATTAGCCCGAATCCGCAGGTGCAACGCAGTGCTGTGCCACGCCAGGTCTCTGTCACTCTGTGCCAGGACGGAGTCTCCGTACTGTGTCCGTGGAGGACTCGTATCTCCCTAAATTTAAGATCTGGCTAGAATTATCACCCCGTCGTGGTACTCGTATATGGAGTTACCTCAGTACATACTCCGTACAGACCGGGGAATTACGGAGTAGTAGATCTTCTCTTCGGGGAGAAAGGTGAGCATAAATAGAGCGATGCTCCCAAGCTGGCTTCTCTGAAAACGCTTGCAATGAGTAATAATACATCGGGATAAATTCATGCAGAGTAGATTTTGCGTATATTCATCACACCCTGTCTATACATCACCGTACAACTGCTAGCATCTCTTCGACACGCCCAAATTTCTCCCGGATCTTCCCCCTTTGCTTCCCTCTCTCCTGCTCGACGGCGTTGATCTTCTCCCAGTCCTGCCAGGTCGTTGGGATGAGCCCTCTGCGTTCCGCCTCTGGGCGCACTCCCTCCCACCCCAGACCAGTACTGCCCCCTGAGGCGGAGTTGAGGAAGGAGATGCTACTCCCGGCGCTGCTCTTCTGCGCCTCCCAGTCGGCCGCGATGGAGTCTGCCGTGGCAAATGCGTCCATCATGGTCGAGGCGATCACTCCCGTCGGTCCGCGCTTGACCCAGCCCGCGCAGTAGAGACCCGGTAAGTGAGAGATGTGAGCGTGATCCAACGGGGTGGTGCTGTCTTCGGCTGCGGCCGCAGAACTGGTCACCCGCCCGAATCCGTCATGAGGGATGATGCCGCGACGCGTATCGAACTGGATGCCAAGGTCCTCGAATCCCGGTAGAGGTAGGGACTTGTATCCGATGCTGCGGAAGAAGATGTTGCAGGGGATAGTCACCTCAGCGGGCTCCCCGCTGGAGAGCAAACGCTGCTTGACTGTGGCATTCGGGGAGAAGGGATCAGAGGGATCCAGGTCGTTGCGGGTAAATTTCACATGGGACAGTCGGAAGGGGAACTTGGGCGACCAATGCAACGAGTGGGGAGACAGTAGAAACTCCAGGGACCACGACTTCGTTGCCGCTTCAGGACTGGTGTCAGAGCCTTTGGCAAGCAGCTGGGTCAGACGCTTCTGCGCCCGGGGAAGGGAAGCAATGATGGACTCTGGGGGTAGCAGGTCCTGCGGAATGGGGTCGAATGAAACGGACGGGAGTTGAAGCAGTTCCCGAACCTCTTTAATGGTGAAGGCAGCCTAGAAAAAAGACAGACATGAGCATTCGTACTCGGTACACACTCTGCTTTGCTCTATCTCTACCTGCATCGGTCCGCGGCGGCCAACAACCCGAACGCGCTTGATCCTGCTCTTAGCCAGCTCTTCTAAAGCATACTCTGCAATATCTGTCTTGCGTAGGACGTCGACATCGGATAGCAAAATGCGAGCCACATCGAGAGCCACATTGCCCTGGCCCACGATGACGGCGTTCTCACCCGCCGTCAGATCCGGAGCCAGATCACGGTACTCCGGTAGTCCATTATACCATCCGACAAACGCCCTGGCCGACAGGACGTTCTTCGCGGCATCCTCGCCCGGGATCCCGAGCTCCCGATCCTTGGAAGCCCCGTAGGCGAAGAGAATGGCGTCGTAATGCGGCTTGAGCACCTGAAAGGGGAGCTGGGCGCCGACAGCGACATTGCCGATGAAATTGAAACGGGGAGACGTAGCGACCTCTGTGAATTTCTCCTCACAGTTCTATTTGTCCAATCAACCAACCAGCCAGTCAGTCATTCATGTCGAGCCAGCAAGCAGTATTGATGATTGGGGATTCTCTCACCTTGACCTCTGGGTGGTCGGGAGCGACACCATATCGCACCAGGCCGAATGGCACCGGCAGCTGCTCGTACATGTCGACGACAGCATCGTCGACCTTGGAGAGAAGCCGGGACGCGGCATAGAAGCCTGCCGGTCCTGAACCGACGACTGCAACACGGAACGGACGGTCATGCCGGACGACAGTGCTGTTGTGTCTCTTCAGGCCTTTCGGCCTCTCCCAGGGGAGAGTTCTCGACAATCGAAAGCCCTGGCGCGCGCATCGCGCACAGAGATAAGGGAGGGACATGTTTATTTCTTCACCGACTTAAGTATTTCTTCATGACGCAGTTGCTCAGAGTTCCGCGGAAAGCACTTGGGCACGTGCGCTTATCTTATCACTGGAATGCACTAACCATTTCAAGAAACTCGTTATGGTTTCTAGACTTCAGGAAATCAACTTCACCTGGAGTATAGCCTTCTTATTACAGATACACTGTAAACTATTACATGTCTCTATATCAACCTAATACTTATCCCTTAACCATCATCATCATTTTCAGTCGAGTCAAGCCTTCCAATCCCTTGCTAGGAGTTCTATCTATCTAGGCTTGTAGTTCTTCAAGTCTGTGACCAGTCAAAAAAAAAACCAGATCAGCATTCAGCTTTAGACAAAGAGAGAGAGAGGGGGGTACAAAGAGAGTGAGGTCTGCGAAGAAGAATCCAATTCGTAATCCTGTAGTTAGGCAGTGATTCTGACCATGATAGCCTGGGAAAACCCGCCAGAAATTATTAGAATGGCAGTGCCTGGGTATATTATATTTGTATGTAGGTCCATATACCGTACATATTTATTACATGGCAAAAAAAAAGGGCAAAAAATGAAAAAAGAGAAAAAAAAAACTAACTCCACCCATTCCCATTTTTTTTCCCAATTATAGATAGATAAACAGATAGATAGGCAGCTGCTCCGCGATCTATGCAGCTATATATGCAGCCCCTTGAAACAAACCGGACAGACCATGATCATCCCCGCACCGTATCCAACATGAGTAGTACCAAAAAAAAAACATAAAAAGGAAAAAAGTAAAAACAAGCTCTATATGTGTCCCTGCTCAGTGTTGAGCAGTCTTTGTGATGACTTTCTTCTCTCTCTCTCTCTCTTCTTTTTTTCTTTCCAGCACAGCTGGAATGAGTCAGATCCTGATCAACGACTCACTGAGGGTCGATTTCGATAACCGGCCCCGTGTAGACTTTCCTCGCTCGAACAAAATAGTAAACGACACTGATAATCACCACGCTGGAGTAGCCCACTGAGCTGTAGTTCATCGACTCTACCGTCACTACTCTCTTAGTGGGCCAGAAACTGAAAAAGATGGCAATGATGAGGTAGATGACCGCGATCGAGTTGACGATAATCCCAAAAATCCCCGGAATCCGGAACGGGCCCCAGGTGAGGGTTGCCCCCGGGGTGTTGACGAGTTGTGAGCCCGCCGAATCGGATCGGATGAGGATTTGATTGGTACAGCGGCGCCAGAGAAGTAGCGAGCAACAGATCAAGTAGGACGAATAGAGTCCGGCGACCGACAGCGAGATAACGTCGTTGAATGCCACTGAGGATCCGAGGTTGATCAGGGCGAGCAGGCAGGCGATCGTTGTGGTGGTTGCAATTGACCATACCGGGATTGACGTTCGAGGGTCAAGCTGCGACCGTTAGGATTGTCCAAACATCAACGTGGTTGTGACGTGAAGCAGGGGTATAAGCAGGGGTATAACATACGCGGCTCAGTATCTTCCATCCGGGGATACCACGATCACGGCTAAAGGACCAGATCATGCGAGACGCGGATGCCATTCCACCGACGGTTGCACAGAGCCCAAGGATGGTAATTATCGACGCCATCACGGTAGAACCCGCCACGGATTCCGTTGCTTCCAAGAAAATCTCCATAAAAGGGTACCCCGTTGGGGATTTTAAGGCTTTCTCAACGTTGCCGAGAGAGAACAAGACCGTAAGGATCATGCCGAGTCCAAGCGACCCGTTTATCACGATAGTTGTAATGATGGATGTCGGGACAACCCTGGATGCGTTTTGGATTTCTTCCGACATCTATCAACACAATGCTTGTTAGCAACCATGTGTGGGGTCTTCAGGGACAAAAAGGCCTACATGAACTGCTGCGTCCGCCCCCGAAAAGGCAAAGACATTGCCAACGATACCAACGAAGAATGAAAGGGTTTGCGTTTGATAGTCACCCTCGTTCAGCCAGCTGTTGAATACGGCCGAAGGGGGGCTATGCTCGGCCAGATATGCGAGCGGGATCAGGATGGCGAAGAAGCCCAGAATATGAAGAACTAGGATTAAGCCCTCGAACTTGGGCAAGAGACCGCTGCTTATAACGTTGATGAATACGGTAAAGGCAATGATGGCCCAGTAGAGCAAAGTCCCGTGCCATGGTTGCATATTGTAGCCCGGGTGGGTTAGCTTAATCAAACCCTGGATCAAGGTCGCAGACAGATAGCTAGCGGAAGAAAGACTCGCTTGCCAACCGGCAACAGTGGCCCAGCCTGGAAGAAGGAGTCAGAGGAGGAACGATCCCGCATTGCCAGTACAGATATTACCGGTGATATAGCTGAGGAATTTGTAAGCTGAAGAAGGAGCCAGCATTGAGACCCAGTGGTACTGGCCGCCAGAGGTGGGAGCCCTTGGATATTGTCAGTGAGAACAGAACTTTCTCGCAAGGAGTGTCGTACTATATGTACAGCACATACATGGAAGCCAATTCAGCTATGGTCACGAACGTTGCGAAGGTGCCTGCCCAGACTAGGAGATAGCTGTAGAAAACACCACTGGGACCTCCACTTGATGGCAGTCAGTCGATGAAGGAGGAGGAGAATCTAATCGTCAACCGCAATTGACGTACTTTGCAAAAGGCTCCATAAAAGTCCTGGATCCGAATTAGCTCTGGCGACTGTTGACATGACAGAACGAATGAATGAATGAACGGACGACGTACACCAGCGATCCCTCCCATGTGATCAAAATCGTGCAGCTGAAGCCCAGGATGGACATGAACCCGAAGTTTCGCTAGAAGGAATGATGGTGAGCTTGGAGCTGCATGGAACCCCATGGTCGCATGCCCAAAAATAAAAGACAACGGACCTTCAGCACTGCCTTTTTGCCCAAACGGGCCAGGTATTCTCGATCAAGATCGTCCAGAGTCTGCCTCCGATTGATTTCCTCGTAGGCGGAAGGCCCCATGGCCTTCAGCTCTTGACCTTCCATTGCGGTGGTATGATAGTCGAACCGAGACTGATACAATCACGCCAGTCTGTCAAGAGAGGAAGAAAGATTAAAAAAAAAAGTAAATTAACACTGCGAGACAAACTCGCAGCTAAAGACGCCCGAGAACAAGGAAGTAACGCGGACGTGATGACTCCAAAGAGGTCTAAGTGTAGTAGGAGCTTGTAGAGAAAGCTGATGCAGCAAGAGAAGGCATGAAGAAAGAAAGAATAGTGAAGAGTCGAGACTGGGCGTGTTTGCTAGATGGCCATGTAATAGCGCATCCAGCCATGTTGTACTTGGTAGCTATTGTTAGCTGTTGGTGTCCATGCTTGGGCAAGAGGGACTGCTGATCCGGAGGGTTAGGCCACCTCTGTCTGTTTGTAACGTACGAGAGGGGTTTCCACGCCCACCATTCTTTCGTCTTTCGAGAAGCCAGCACATTGTTCTGCGAGGGTAACGTTCTGCTCCACTGTTAGCAAAATACGAGTTTTGCCAAGCTTGAAAAAGCGATCTGGCGTACGTTTAAAATCAGTAATTCAGAGACCACTCATCGAGAGCGAGTCGGTGAATGCTGAAGAATTCGGGAACCGTTGCGGTACGGATACCCCGTACTGTACGGAGTACAGCGTAACTGTATGTATCGGTAATGACGATCCGGAGGCGAAGGATGCGCCGTCGAGCTTTAGGGCTTAAGCGCGAGTGGCGCTTAGGGCGGCCATTCCAGAAAGGCCCGCAAGGACGAAGGATCGACGGTGGCTTGTTACAAACTTACAACTTAGTACTTACTAGGCGTGACCAGCCACTGATATCGCTATCGCCGATCATAGAGTGCCTTGGACCTCTTATCGCGCAAGACTTGAAGACACCCCGTCTTGGACTTGGCCTGATGGACGGGTCCACCAGTCATTCTTTGCTGTTGGCTAGTTGCAAGTGTACAATTCATCTCGGTTAATTGCACGTTTATCGATCCTCGATCCTTGTCTCGCATGAGGGAATAACAGGTCGCTATCGTGCTGATCAGACTTTAGACTCATAACCTTCCTGGCTTAGTTCAATACCTGTAGCTAATTCTAGGTATTTCATGCCCCCAGCCCAGCCAAGCCCAGCCCCCAATCGTGATTCGGCAAAAAAAGAAATTCCTCGGCTATAATTAACTCGATAACGAGAAGTATCGCAAATTCTTTCATCTAGTGCAATTCTAGATAGGGAATTTTTTTTGTAGTTAAAGTTAAAACCCGAAAATAGAATGAGAAAAGAAAAATATCGCTCATGAATAGACCCATATTATCTAATATGTCTACCTAACTTAATCTACACGAGGTATTTGTCATAATAGAACCTACAGCTGGGAAGCTTCTTATAGCTCGGGACGAAGTCCGAGTATTCTTTTTTTAGATAACCACCCCTCTTACACCCACCCTCCCTCCTCAACCCTCCCGAAATGCCCCTTGTCAAGACTCCTGCTCGTATATGTATATAATAAATATTAGGAAATTACGTAGAAGATATCGGGGTATGTATTGCTGTAGAATAATGCCAAAGAAAAAAAAAGAACCGAGCACCAAATGAATCTAAACTCTCACGGACTCCTCGCCCGGCGAGGCTGGCTGTCCTGGGTATTCTGCCACAGACCACGTTTTAGTTTCTCGAATTATTCTCGCATAACTCGATTGACTGCTGACCTCCCAATCTTTGTCTTTCCCGCCTGCTGTGACGGTCGTTTCCAGTCGCTGAGGGACCGATATCAGTTCGTGGATGGTGCCGCCGCCGCGGTGACTGGCTTGCGGAGACTTGTGCGAATTGAGCCCGCGCGGGGTGCCATAGCCATAGCCATATTTCCTGGTCGTTCCCGGTATGTCATACAGCCGCATTCCGCTCGACTGGAGACTTTCGAGGAAGGGCTTGAATTGCGGCAGGCAGGTGCCGACGATGCTGAGACATTGCACCACTTCCGAGCACACGACATTCTGCCAGCTCTCGAGCAGCGACTGTCCGGTATGGGCGGCGTGGTTCAAGTAGGCGAGCTGGATAATAACAGCCACCACGACACTGGAGACCGTTAGAGTGACAAGTCCCCCAAAAAAAAAGGTCGGGTTCAGAACCCATACATTATTCGACCAGCGAAACATGATACGATCCCAATCTTCTTCCCCAGGGTTGTGCGAAGCGGGGACACAATGACCACCGGATGGATGATAAGCACCGCTTCAGTCAGGATATTGACCACGCCGAAGAAGTTCCACCACGCCACCTAGGTCGGTCAGAAGGCATTCCGTATTGTCTGGCGATGTGGCGACACCTACGCGATTGAAGCAGGTATTGTGGATGTAGTCCCACGGCTTTGGGAGGTGGCACTGAAACGCCACGGCGAATTCCGACACGACACCCCAGACGCCGACGAAAATACACAAGCCCGTGGTGAGGTTTAGGTCGATAGTATCCAGGGTCAGTCCTCTCACAAAGAGCAGGGCGGCCACCTTGGACAAGCACAGGCTGGCAATGAAGAGAAGAGATGACGCGTATTCAGCCTGGACCAGAGACAAGGTCAGAAGACGGGGCTTCTTCTGATGCACGCGATCCAAGCTCACTCACATGCAGCATGCGCAGGATCTCGCTGGTGCTCAAAGCATCTTGAGGAACTTCGAATTGGCGGGTGATTCCTAACGACGTGGAGATGGACTGGGCGATTGCGAAGACCTGCAAGACCGTCGGCCATGTCGAATTAGTTCCAGGAAATCTGATGTCGTTTGAGAAGGATTTTATGAAGGCAGCGTACAAGAGCAAGGCAGAGGATGTAATCATCGCGGGTCAGTTTTCGGACGAAGAAATACTTGGTGCCCAGTCTCATCAGCACGGCGAGAACGGCAGTAACCAGGAGAAACCAGTTGACAACATTGGCAGCGGCCGTCGCACCATTGACATGGCGGCCCATGGTCGTTCACATGTGTAGAAAACACAACAGCCCTAGATGCTGCATGAACAAGCAACGAGATGGATGCCGGAAGAAGATATGAGTATACAGGTACGGAGGAAAAAAGAAATCCAACGATCACAAACAACTCACCTCGAGCACGGTAGACCAATGCATGCTCTGGCTTGCCCCCATGCACGGAGGGGCTAGGCTGCTCGACCTCGTGGCTGCTCGAGCCGGCCTCGGTCGATCTGCCGCATTGTCCTGGGCTGTACTGAGCGGTACTGTATTGTATGGTATTGGTAACGGCTATAACGTATTGGAGGATCACCAGCGCCTTACTCCGTAGGTACCTAACCTAAGTACCCTTGCGTCAATGTAACCAAGACTGTCGCGGCGTGCCGTGCCCTTGTGACGTACAGTACATCTACCGACCAGGGTAGGGAGCAGCAGACCGAATTTTCTCAAGAAACGTGCGCTTGGCTTGGCCCCACCACGAGGTGATGCCGCTGGATGGACCAGAGCCAGCCGCTGGGTTTGCTGGGGGCAAAGATGGTCATAACATTGAATTACTCGCATGCAAAACGGCCGTCCGGCGCCATTTGCCTTCATGATTGATGTACATACCTTCGTACAGCAATGTGCAAGTTTTCTATCGGCTCATGATGAATTCCAGAGACGAACAGAAGTATTCCCTCCTCCGGGATTCTGACGCTGCAGAGTCTGCCGGCGACCTCCCCGAGGGAGTTACGCACTCCCGACGGGGATCCAAAGGATGGCTGTGGTGGACAGGCCTGCTGGCGTCATTGGCAGCGAATGTGATTCTGGCAGCCTTGTACATTGGGACGATATGGAACAGAAACCAGCATCCCCAAGGGATTTCGAAATATGGTCTGTCGTTTCCTCTCCAGGTTGTACGTAGCTTTGTGTTAATAATTCCGGGGATACAGCTGGCTTGGCCTACGACAAGCCCACCGTCTACGACTGGATGTCGGACTACGGCCCTCACAACAAAAACCAGACCCTGCAGGACGAGCTCTGGGAATCATTGCGCATCAGCCCTGGGGTAGTCGCTCTGTCGGATGACTTTGCGCGATCCAAAGGGCTGCATCTCTCCCAGAGATTCCCATGGGATGAGAACTATGGGATCTACTTCATCAGCGGCTACCACAAGCTGCACTGTCTGGTTTGTTTGACCACACACCCTTTTCTGAGTCGACGGAAAAACTTACACAACATTGCAGAAGAAGATCCGTCGCTGGATCGTAACCACCGAGCGTGGCACTCACAAGATTGACAACATCAACCATATTCTCCACTGCTTAGATATCCTGCGCCAGGATGTCCTCTGCGAGGCAGATGACCTGCCGCTGTACACCACCCTGGGCCCCAGCAAGGACACCGGGGTGGATGAGGTGCATTACTGCCGCGACTGGAACAAGCTTGAGGAGTGGGCGATCGCCAACTCTGCCTGTTTCGGCTACGTCAACGAAACCCACGACGAGAGCGGCGGGATCAAGTACTACAAATACTGTCCCAAGGGCTCGCCCTTTGCGCCGGCGATGCGGAAGTACTTTGGCCTCCCGGACGATTATTATGAGGAGCCGGTTGAGCAGGTGCCGCCGTATACCAGTCCCGATGCCAATTGATCTGAAGAGCTGTCCTTCGTTGTTTTCTTTCTCGTGTCAATATTGTTTCATAGATTGATATTATTGCTGAGAGTAAATACCACTTTGTATATAGTCTTTACAAACGGATTGTAGGAACGAGTGCTAGGTACCATCACCTCCTGAACATCAACGTATGTACTGTAGACTACATGTATCTATATGAAGATGTTTATCTAGAGAAAAAAATTCTACAACACATAATCTAATCTACCTCAACAATGGCAAGCATGCTATAACGGCAACGACAGTCCAGCGTCTAGTTCAAAAAAGAAAAAACGATAGTCTCTAATTCATTGTTTAGTAACAAAGAAAGTCCCCCTCCTTCATATATACATATATACCAGTACCAGACCAGAAAGTGAGAGAGAGACGGACAGACAGATAGACAGACAAATTGATCAGTCAGTCCATGGTTCGACCAACAACCAGCCAGTGGATTCCTGCTTCAATCGATCGTCTCGTGTTCTTATTGTGAAACTGTATTTTCTTCTCGTCAACGGCTGTCTCTCCCACACAGGATATATAGTAAAATGATCATAATTGGTGAAAAATAATGACTGACATTCTATCCAAGGTCAACAGCAGTACTAACAAGCAGGTCGATGACCCTCTCATTTAAAAGATCTCTCCATAAGGAAAGCAGTGGACGTTGTTTTCCTTGTTCTCGATATCACACTTGCCGGCAAACTCAGCATCTCTCGGGCCCTTGAAGTTGGGAGGCAGAGGCTTCTTCACAGCGTCCTCGACAACGTCCGCGAGCGGGGTGGGATGGTGCACCTCAGCGGCCAAAGAAGTGGTGGTGGGTTCCGGTTCCGGGTCCGGAAAGTTGATCACGATGGGGGATGCGATGACGCTGGTTGCAAGCCCCAGGAGGATGAAGGTGAGGGAGCGTGTCAGCTGCATGATGGAAAGGCAGGTAGCAGGAGAGAGAGGAGGGGGGTTCGTAAGAAAAAAAGGAATGACTATTGCTGTCCTTTCTAGAATATGAGTGCTATACTCCGTTGGAGAGAGTTACTTTTAACAGGTCTCTTGGTCGGCCCAAGCCTTTAAGTACTGTACATGCACGTGTACATGCGTGGGTAGCTGACTATAACCTGACTCGGGGATGCGGCCGTTGGCGCCATCATCATTGGCGTCTTTGGTGCAAAAGCCAATTGATGTCAGGGAATCAATCCCTTGTGGTAAGGTTGCTACCTACGGAGTAATTTTACTGGTTTTGCCGCGGGTCAAAAGGTAAAACAAAAAAACGTGGCGATCCCAATGGATCCTGACAGGTTCGAGTGCCGATTGCAGCAAATCCGTGGTTACATCGTTTCTGTATCGCACGGTAATCTCTATCTGGCGGCCTGGGGAACCAAAACTTGCCAGAGGAAGACCTACCTATCGAGACGGAATATAGGTCGGGCCATGCCGCCATTGCTGCTGTGATCAGCACTTTATTCTCCTACGGGGCTGGGGGCTGGATTGATGCCGCAAGTGCGTCGGCGACAGATGCAATTCTATTTCAGTGCTGACCTATCCGATAGATCGATAGGAGTGGCTTTCCCAGGCCCGACCTGATCTGCAGCTTCGTATGGACAAAGTCTATTTACCGTAACCGCCCCTAGATGAGGGCATGGGCGTCCCCAGTTCTGGTTTTCGTAGAGATCGTCAATGACCGGGGTTGTTGTTCGAGACGATACTCACTACTACTGGAGCCGAGTGTTTCGGCTTGTCATCTTGCTGATGAGAAGAAGCAAAATCTCTGTCTACCATGATCAGGGGGGATGCACGTCACCAAAGGATTCAGGGAGAAGATTACATACATTAGGTACCTAGACTGATGTCTATACGCGTTCTCGATCCTTCGCAGATCGATATTCGGCCTCGAACGGCCGATTGGCTCGTCCGGTTGTTAGTTCCGTTTCGTTGGTTCCGGCCCCCAAAACCATAACACCAAAATAACTTTTTCTCCACAGAACTAAATTCAATAGGGTTAAGATCTAGGATACTACTGCCTTAGGCCATTCCTTCGCGATCTGTGCCACACGGACACTAGCGTTATCTTATAGAATCATGCAAGGCTCCCTATACGGAGTATAGAAAGTAGGTATTCTTACTGAGGTAAGGAGCGGATCGGACTCTCCTGTGCTGACTGCACCCTATTACTATCTGCCTGGCTAGAACTGCAAGGTCTCAGCATCATATGATCCCCGTGAATGCCATCGAAGCGCTGGGGTAAATTGAATCCTCCCCACCTGGTCTCGGCCGGCGCCTAAGCTTTCTCGTGGCTGGTAGCGTTCCAAGGTTGGTGGGAAGCTTGGCGGCCTGACTCGTGACCGTTTCGCTGCTGTAACAGGGTTACGTGACGGACCGTATTACGGCGGTAAGATTAAACTCGGAGTACTCCGCACTCGGACTCCTTCCGACTGCTTGCTCCATTCGGCAGGCAGCGCGAAGAGGAATGGCCGGCGCGTAACCTCGCAATCACGTGGGGCGCGGGGATTGGCGGCCGGCCAGCTGATCGACATGCTGCATCACGGCAGTTGCGTGATGGCCCCGGCCAGAGCGACATTTCACCGTTAGCTCTTCGCCTGCATGCGCCAATCGCCTTCTCGAACGGTTCCAAGGGATCCTTGCTGTAATGCATCGGTGTTGTGGCTTTGCTGAACGGGGTTGTCATGCACTGTATAGGGAAAGCAATCTGAAGGCTGCAGGAAGGGCAGGTAAGCGCCCAGCTAGCTACCTAAACTACCCCGTTCCTCGCCAGAGTGACCATTCAGGCTCGTCGTCATGCGTTGCTATTCAACGTCTTCACCTTCACGATTCTGTCTCCCCTAGAGATCTATATCCTTACTCGTTGCCATGCTCTCAAGGTCGAAATAGCCCCCGCTGATGACTTCCCGCTGCGGAGCTCACTGTGGCCCCGTTGGAAGCCTTCGAGAACCCGTACCAGGGCATCCTTCGCCTCTTCTGCCCGATCCTGAACGACGATCGCCAGTCTGACCGCCAGCACTCAAGGCCAACTCGCGCAGCATCACGATGAGCAGCCCGCCAGCGTCTGGGTCAAAGTCGTGGACATTGATGCCAACAACAAGATCGCGGGTGGGACCCGCTGGATCTTTTATCAGCAGAATCCGTTTGCCCTTTTGAGGCCGTTTGGTACCCCGAAGGACCGGGAGAGAATTCGCGACCAAGGCATTGCACCAGTTCTTCGCTCCCAGAGCTACTCTGTTCCAGAGGCCACACGACTGTCTGTGTCCCTGTTCAGTCCCGACCACGGGAACGGAGAAGCGGGTTGCTGTCGAGCAATGATTTGACCTCAGTGCGGCGTGTTCTTAGTCCCTAACATAGCCTTTACCCTGCCCGATTATCGTCGCAAAGGCGTGGGTGATCTCTTCATGAAATGGGGGATTGAAAAGCTGAGGCCCCGGGTGTGGCATCCCACTCTATGAGAAACTGCCAACCTGGCAGCTATCAATCATACTAGGGGTTCACTAGATAACCTAAGTTTTCTTTTGTGCCCCAGTTTGGTTGACAGAAACACGTCTTCCTCCGAACCTCTGACATCTCGCTCATCCCACAGCCTGGCGAGCATCTGTCGAAAGAAGATCAAGCCGTGTGGGACAAGTACGAGAAGCTGGCTTTACGGTGCATATTGATGCACATGTGGAGACCGAAAAAAGGCAAGGATGTCGAAGTGTCGGTGAAGCCGGGAACCAGCAATGTCGAATGAAGGGGAATGTTCTGCAGATACGCGTAAGGAGTCATATTTTTGCAGCTACATATACAAGTGACCACAGCACAGCGCAGCGCAGCACCAATGGGCATGGTCCACTCGAACAGCCGAAATCCCTGGAGTCGAGTCACTGGCGCCGGTCTGGATAGAAAAGAATAGCGGGACAATCTTTTTTAACCTTATGCCCATACAATCCCCGAAGGGATGTCTTATCCGCCAGGCCATAGAAGCCAATTCAGGCGGTTGAGGGTCATAGGCTTAGTAAATTCTAGCCAGCCGCCAAGAGGCTAGTGCCGTGATGCCCGCTGTCAAGATATCACATCCATGGATGATCTGGGCGGAGAGCCCCAGCGACCTTCCCGTTGCCGGGCCAACAATCGAAACCAACATTGTTGACGAGTGGAATCTCAGCCCTACGAACCCACGATAATAGCCCCTTCCATGGTTCTCCTCTGGCCCGCTGTCGATCTCGATCTATGACGACCGCCTCACCTCCGTCTTCTATCCACATTCCATTCCATCCCGCCTCCGATCGCTGATCGCTCTCTCCGTTCCTTTCGATCCACTAGTACGGCGCCGGCTCGTGACAGTACATTCCTTTACCCCAGATCTTGCCTTGTGGATAACCTCTAGCATGGGCAGATCGTCTCCTCCATTTCTCTATGATCCTCCCTCCACATGGTCGTTCGATGGCCCGGCAGGGAGCGGTTTCAATCCCAAGGCTGTCACCCAGGCGAGCTGGACTCCCCGACAGACGAAGCCGAAGCCAAATGGCCCGCTGGTGAACTTCAATAGGCACCCCGACATGGTAAGATTCGCGTTCAGGTCCTGTTTTGCGATGCATCTGGAGAATGAGACGTGGATTAATGATCGATTTGTGCGAGTCTAGTGGGGAGTACCGCGTCAGCCCAGAGAGATCACCCCGATGAGTCCTCGCACAAAGGTCCGTGTCAAACGGACGAGGTTGCTGCAGCTCCTGCTCCGAATCGCCTCCCTGGTTGGCGCCCTAGGGGCATTATTCTGTGTCATCTGCATCAATGGGACGGGTGTCTCGGTGGGATGGATTATAAGGGTTGCGGTACGCATCGCACTGAACCTGATAGGGTGCCATGGACCACGCTGACGAAATGTCTCTCTTTCAAGCCCGCACTGGCCACTCTACACACCATCTACTCCATCTATCATCTGTCTCGCTCTGCTGCCAGCCGACCTCCGGCCTCCACCACCAGCTATATGCTTTTTGCCGCTTCGTTGGACGCGGGATTGGTCCCATTCTACGCGTTTACCGCCTTTGCGGCCAACCGGCAATATACAGATAATGCGTACAACTGGGGCACGCTGTTCAATAACGTGCAGATCACCGAGAACATTACCCATGTTCTGTTCCTCATCAGCACCGTCTGTGGCGGGCTGCACATCGTGTCCTTTGCCATCTCTGTTTACCTGGCCACTGTATTCCGGCAGATTGCCAAGCTCCCTCCAGATATGAACCCCCTGGAGGATAACCTCACCGCTCGTCCGCACAAACGCAACAAGTCAGAGATCTCAGAGAAGCATCGGAGCGTCAGTACTCTGGATTCGTCGGATGCCAACTCCAGAGCTACAGCGGAAGATCCGCTCATGGGAGAACCTCGCACCATTCCCTTCATGCACACGAGGCAAAGCTCGTTGGACACGACCTCTGGACAGCAGCAATCTTCTCCAACGTCTTCCGATAAGAAGAGAGCGTCTCGAACATCGAACCAGTCTCATCGACTCTCTCGTTCGGATCTTCCCAGTCAACAGCGGCGCCTTTATGAGCAGTCGAACCAGTCCAAGAACTCTTTGACGCGATCTGCAGCACACAGGTCCCGCGACCCGTCATCCCGGCCCACATCAATGGTGGTGAATGATGCTCCAGTGCTTCTTCCGTCTTCAAATGAGCATGTGCCCACTGATTTCCGATGGGGCAGTCCGGTCTCCTCTCTGGAGTCCGACAACTGGGTAGCTTATCCATCGCGACCCTCATCTCCCGTCAATGAAAACATTGCCCGACGAGAGAGCCCCATTGAAAGTCGCAACGGCACGCCCCCTTCATTCACCAATGGTGTCAGTGATTGGCTTAGCTCTGCGCAGAAATATGGACGCGATGTGTCCCATGAGAAGGCCCGCGGAGAGTATACAGCGCTGCAAAATGAGGAAGATGAGAAAAATGATGAAAATGCGTATCAGGACCACCATGCGGAACAGGACCTGGGAGAGCGTCAGCAACCTCATGATGGCAAGACAACGAATCCCTTGGGCATGAATCCACCGACTCCACGACCAAAGGAAGAGGAGCAATCAGCATCCAGGAATGCGAGCCTACGCCGTCCCGCCCTGACGGACCTCCCGAACCCCTCCGTCAATAATAATAATCGGTCCGGTACCAAGGGCCGCTTTTACGGTGAGCTAGAGGGGACCGGTCTTTCCGTGCCGCGGGCGGTCAGCAACCAAGAGATGCAGGAAGAAAAACCGAAGTTTCTTGGTAGCAAGAAGCTCCGGAGACGCAAGTCCGGCAAGTCGTCCGCATACGAAGCTCTGAAGACGAAGGACGATGACGAGGATAGCGACGACCCTGAGATGCCGGAGATGGAGAAGCAGAAGTCCACGGAAGCCAGCGACAACAGCAGCGAGAGTGACCGCAAGGGTCGCGTCGTGAGCAATTCCGGCATTGATCTTGGCGCGGGTTTCCAGCTGGGCTCCGGTTCGAATTCGTACAGCAGCTACATCTCCGAACTGGGGGTTGACGCAGGAGAGACCGCAACGTTAGCGGCAAGGTGGCCGAGGAAGGGCGTGGCGGGTATGCCAAAGAAGAGAACACACAGGAGAAGAAGCGGAATTCGACCATTCGAGCCGCAGGATGGGCCCGGTTTGCCGGGCTGTAATCAGGCCAGGCCAGTTGTGAAACAGAAACAGAAACATCTTGACTGGCTGACTGCTCTGCCTGACGAACTTGGTTTCTCTTGTTTCTGCTTATCCCTGTCACGCGATGCTATACCTTATGTCTGTCTCTGCGTGTTGGGTGGAGCAGCAACAATGACAGAAAAAAAATCTACCCTTGATGGAAATGATTTGTCATGTTATCTCCAATCAGTCCAAAGTTCAGACAGACCTTGGTTTGGTTGGTTGACATGGAATGAAACGAATGAAATGAAGTGAAACGAAATGCATGCTATTGGAACGAAATGAACGACCAGCAATGAATGTCAATGAATGGAGTACGGCAAGGCAGGGCAGGGATTGGCTTGTCTGTTTGCATGGAGTCCTGTCGACTTGATATATTTTTTGTTGTTTTTAGTTAGTATATTCTTTCTCCTCCTCCCATCGAATCTCATATGATGGGACACTTCTTATGATGACTGTTTGTTCGTTTTCTTTTGAGAGGGAGTTCCAGGATTTCTTTATCCTTATTAGGTATTTGCTTATTTGTTGCTATCGACTCGTTATTATTAGTGCAAAACCACAAGTACTTCGCAGTTAGCTGTACCTAGATAGGATTGACAGGTTCCACTGCTCCTAGGACGACTGTCGTTGAAAATCACCAATGATCTAGCTAAAAGTGCCCTAGCAGTTGGCACTAAGGATGGCACAGTATGTCCTAGTCAACTAGAGCGGTGAAGCGTCAAATCACGTCAGGCATGCCGGCTTCTCTTCGCTTCAGCCCAACGTTAATAGATTGCTATTTGGACGAATAGAAGGGCATAGATGAAGATTGTAAATAGACGTTGGCAGGGTTCCAGCTCATGGCTGGGCTGGTCTCTCAGCCTAAAGAATCAGCGCAACTCCCAACGCGTCGATGTTATTTATATTTCTACACCTTTAGTAAGGGGGCAGACGTGAGGCTTCGAGGAAGCTACCGCCCAGAATGGCCCCGAAACTCCCCAACTTGTCTGCACTGCCAGGCAGAACGCGTGCAGAGACACAGCCCAACCAACAACAGAGCCAGGACCAGATCGAGGGCATTCCTCAACCGTTCGAATCGGATTTTTTCACCAACACTCTCCTTGACGAGAGCAAATCGCATGAAGCGGGCAAAGAGGCCTCTTCTTACCAAGCCCAGCCGGCGAGGAACTTCTCCTCATCGGCACGCTATGGCCTCCTCTCTGGGTTCGATCCAAGCTATTATCGCGATTGGCTTTTCGAGATTCTCTCCTGCGTGGCTAGCTTCGTTGTCCTGATTGCCATTATCGTCCTTCTCGAACGATACGACCAACAGCCCGTTCCGGCATGGCGTCAAGGCATCACGCTGAACACTCTTCTGGCCCTTTTGGCCACTCTGTGCAAGGCAGCTTTTGCCTATCCGGTCCTCCAGGGCATCTCCCAGTTGAAGTGGAATTGGTTTACGAAGCGGCGACCGTTGATCCATTTCGAGGCTTTTGACGAGGCCAGCAGAGGTGCTGTTGGAAGTATTAGGTTGCTGGTGGCAACCAGGGGACAGTGAGAGGCCTATTTCTCTGCTTGTATCACCGCTTCTATATTTGCTGAAGCTTATTTATATACATCTCAGGATCTCTTCTGTTGTTGTTGCTGCTATCTTGATAAGTGCTATCATAACATCGACCATCACCCAGGCTGCTGTCACCACCTCAACCCGTTATGCCCCCGGAGATGGTACAGCTACGGTTGGAAGGTTCATATCAAATAAGGATGGTTTGATTGCACTACTCCCAATGCTAGCATAGGTACGACCAAATGCTGACCCTTCTCTTTTTAAAATACAAGCCTCCGAAGGTGGGATTTGGAACAAAACGGTCCCAGAGTTTATGGAGTCGATATGGACTCCCCTGAACGAGACATACCCACGTCTTGCACCGACCTGCACTACTGGGAACTGCCAATTCCCGCCATTTTCCTCCCTTGCAGTTTGTGTCGCGATGAACGATGTCACCGACCAGCTCAATTTAACCAGTCTAGGGCTTTATCCGAACAGCAGCTTTCAAATGACCAAAGCAACCCTCCCAAATGGCCTTTTCCTGGAAATGGGATACAGCGAATGGGGGACATTGAACATATCAGTACCAACCAATTATGAATCGTTTACTGATGCGCCAAATGCGACCCTGTCTTTTGGGAACCGGCCCGACCTGTTACGTGCAGGACTCGTCGACGTGGCCGTCATCTACGGCAACGAAAGCTGGATAACAGACATGCACATGTACCGAGCCGTCGAGGTTCTCTTCCACCTCTGCGTTGAATCATACGAGGTGCAAACCGTGAATGGGACGGCGTCTACGACTCGAACAGCGGTTTTAACAGACGTAGTCACCGATATGCAACCACCCGATCCGCTTCTCACTAACAGCAGTAATTCTGATGACGGCGTTATCGTTTTGGCGGGCCCGAAGCAGGACCGCCAAAATTACACAGCCGGCTTGAACCTTCTACTTGGCATATCAATGCCGCTGGTTGATCTCCTCCCGGGCACCTATCGCGGAGCTGAGATATTATCAGTGGCCACGCCTTTCAGTCTCGCTCTTGGATGGGCTGTCTACCATGAAGGACCATTCACGTCCGGAAACTCGACTTCTTATGGCGGAGACGAAGAGATGCGTCAAACAATCTTGAATATAATGCAGAATATTGCTATAGGTGTAACAAATGTGTAAGTTTGATATTGACCTGTTTCATGTGATCCTTTTTTTTTCCCCGCTCAAAATCCGTTACTAATGAAAAAGGGACCAAAAACAGACTCCGTTCCTGGGGCGGCTCTCCTCAAACAGGCACTCCCTATCAACTCGAAACCTACGTCATCATTCGATGGGGGTATCTAGCCTTCCTCGCCGCCCAGGTCGTCCTATCGGCACTGTTCCTTCTCTGGGTCATGATCCAGTCCCGGAGACTCAAGACGGAGGTGATGAAGAACTCTGTGCTCGCGACCCTTTTCGCCATCAGTTCGGAGGACAAGGCCCTTCTGGAGGCGGAGGGGGAGGGGGAGCCAAGTATCATTCATCAAGATGGAAACAGCAATAACGACATGAGTACAATGGCCAAACGATCAACTGTGAAACTGATCAAGGGCGAAAGAGGATGGAGGCTGGGATTGGTTGGGCGTGATGATGATGACGGTGACGGTGATGACAATCGGGTGGTATAATTAAGACAAATAATATTTACGAGTGGAATGAGTCATTTTTAAGTCTTGTATGTAGACAGTAGTTATTTATTTATATCTACATAGCTAATGTAATAATGTCTGTAATTTATAGATACTGGGTTATTATTGGCCTTTTTTTTGAATAAAATATATGCCCCTATATTTCCAATACTGTATACCTACATAGGTAGGTAGGTTCTTGTATTAGTCCTCGAGGGGTTCCAGGATCTGGCCCGTGCCTTAGTGTTATGGAGGGCTTTGATGAACCTTCTTTCAGAAAAGAAAAAAACTTCTATACCCAGACAGGACAGCACTTATCAGCGCGGAAAGAAAGAAAGAAAGGGGTCAGTTTATTTCATTTTGCTTTATTTTATTTATTATGTGTACGTTGCACAGTACTCATGTGTTTGTCAACAGATGAATGCGTATTTCTTTCCTTCCTTTCGTTTCTCGCTGTCATATATATTTTCCAAGCCTCCTGGAGAACTATATTATAATGTACTATATTATAATACAATTATCAATTGGGTGGTTGTTGCTGTTGCTGCTGGCTCATCATCTTCTTCTTCCGACGCAGCATCTGTTCCTGCGTTCGCTGTTGCACCTCTCGCTGTAATCTCTCCTCCTCTTCGTTGTCAATCATTGTGATGCCTTTGAATTCCTCGTCTTCGTCTTCTTCTTGTAATTTCTCGACCTTCTTCTCATTATCGTCTACTATGGTGATGCTTTCAGCCTTCTGCTGACCGGAGTCATTTTCATTTCTTCCCTGCGACTGAGTCATCGTTGTCGTGCTCGTTTTCGTTGTCGTTTTCTTCTTCGCCTCGCGCCGTTGCTCGTTCTTTGCGCGCTCCTGTTCCACTGCCCGGTCTTGAGCCTGCAGGGCCGTTTCTTCCCACCGAAGCTCGACAGGATCAATCTCCTCAAACCCAATATTGGTCAGGATCTTGCCGATCAGATACTGATAGCGTAGGTGCCCGCTAACCAGCTCGCTCGCATCCACATTCTCCACTCCCGGCACGTCCTCGATGCGCTGAAGACCAGCGACGCCGAGCTGGGCGCTGCTGGCGCGGTATAGAAGCGCCAGGACAGCGTCGTTTTCGGAGAAGACGTTGACCAGGCGTCCGCTCACTACCGATCGCATCATCCGCCAATGCTTAGAATTCGATGGGGTAGGTGAGCCCATGAGGATCGCCGTTTCTACCAAGCCGTAGGCCCGCCTCTTAGCGAGACTTTGCAGGCAAGAAAACACCACTCGTGAGCCAAGAGAGTATCCGATCAGCGTGACAGGACGCTCCCCTTGTGCTTTGTTGATCAGTGCATCGGCAAGCACCTCTCCGGCTTTGTCTGCTCGGGCCTTGGCCACGCTGAAAGGATTGTCAACCGTGACTCGGGCGAGCTTGAGAAGACCGACCGGCAACATGACCGCGCTCATAATCTGCGCGAAAATCGTCCGAGACAAGATCTCCCGTCCCGCAACTGACCATGCAGCGCTGGTCACCAGTGCGCGAATGCCGTTTCCGAGGTTTAATAGAGACTCGAGCTCCCAACGAAGAGCAAATACTTCCGAGTCAGGTCCAATGACACGCCATGGAACGACCATGTCTTCCTCCTCCGTAGCCCACCCTGTTATACCGATCGTGACTCGCAACCGGTGATCTTGCTGGGCAGCTTCCTTTTCATCCTTGAAACTCTTGTTTTGTCCACGGGTAGGAATGAAAGCGAAGTCCTCTACCTCCCGTGCATATTTATCCACCATGCGCCCCGTCATCCTGCCGCCATAAGCCCCAAACAGACCGCCGACAATGACACCGCTGCTGGCGAGAGCACCAAGGTATCCGGCAGCTGCTGTGGCGCCGAGACCAAGTCCTCCCATGACAGTACCAATCCCAGCAGCGACCAGAGGTGCCGCTAGGCCACCCGTGATCCCGATGAGAGCCGCACCAGCGACTGAGGCAATGCCAACTTTCCATCTCCGGGCATTCCGACTCTGCTCCGCCTTCCTCTTTGTTTCCTCGTCTGCAGACATCATTACCGCAGCGTCAAGAAGACCACGGGCTACCTTCGCTTCGTTATGGTTGAGGTCTTCCAAGGTAAGGCCAAGACTAGAAGCTACAAACAGCAGCAAGACACGCGAATGGGCGCTATAATGTTTGAGACTGAGAAGTAGCAGAAGAAGCGAATGGAGTATCAGAAGCTTTTCTGATCTTGGAAGCTGACTTAGCGGGGTCTCAACCGGCGGGTATATCTCCCGCAGTCGTGTCGACACGTTATCTCCCTGGGCCGACATATCCTGAGACTGAGGACGGCTTTGGGGTTTTGACGGAGGCTGTTGTCGCTCCTTGGTATCCTCATCCCGGTTGACGACCTCACCAACTCGAAGTAAGACAGAATCTCTCCACTCGTCAAAGTACCGCAGTGCCGCGGGCTTGGCTCGTGGATTCATCCTGCCTGCAGGAACATTCTGTTGGCCATCATTTTCCGGGTGACTCTTCTTATCGGCTTCAGAACCTGCTGTTTCAGAAACATTCTCCGTTTCTGATTTTTGCACGTTGCTCGACTGATTCCCAGGAGCTTTGGAGACGTTAAGATTATCCAAGACTGCTTTCCGCATAGACTCTGTAATCTGGGCAATCAACACGGTGAGATCGGCGCGTTGATCCCGATCGAGAAGTGTGGTGAGGTCTTGATCTTCAGTGCTCCCTGCCTCCCGCTTATTCCCAACATCCATTGACTTCTTGACATGTTGGAGAAAGTTAGACATTGGAGGCTTATAAGTGGAGGATGGAGGCTGTTGCTGTTCACGGGCAAGAAGGAGTCCAAGCAGGAGACAGTAGCACTTCAAGCAACAAGAAGCTGAAGGAGGGAGATGGGGGAGTAATTAATTCAGCCTCGTCTCTGCTGTTGGTTAGTTGTTGCCTATGTCGCTGTTGGCGGTGAGTTCGGCGGTGACATTGCGTCCTGCTGACTCATCGGCCCCAATGATCCCTGCCTGTGTTGGTGAGAAAGCGAATTGGCTGCCTGATTGTACGACAAAGTATTTTCCCATTGTCCTCGATGCGGATCCTAAAGTGTTGCCATCCCACTCTGTGCCGTCTGGGTTTTCATTTTTCTCTGTCTGGATACGGTGGATTCTCTTGCTGCGACCGACCACTCGCTCCTTCGCCATGGCTTCTCTGAGGTTATCCAATCCAATTGTCGATTCCTTGACAGCTTCGTCACTCTCGTCACGGATGCTATGGAGCGGCGTGACATTGGTAGTGTCGACGCGCTGGATCTCTTTCACGAAGTGAATTTGAGATTCCAGGGTCTTCAGCATGGCCGCCTCCTCCGCTTTGTCGACGGGCTGAGGAAGAGCCGACAGACGAAGGAGATGGCGGAGCTTCTCGGGGGTGACGGACGGCGATTGGGACGTCGTGGTCTGGTCAGGGAGTAGAGATCGAACAGACCATGTTGGTTTTGAGAGTAGAGACGCGATATCTTCACTCGTGTATTTCGAGGAGGATGAATAGTTTCGCGACGAGAGAGTAACCAGGCGTCTCGTGCAATTGTTACACAACGCATTGAGATAATTTGTACTGCGGCGCAGGCAAGCCATTGGGAGGTATCAAAGCCAACGTGCACGTCTTGATCGAGTTATTTGTATAAGAAATAGAAGCGTCATGCAGCAGGTTCCGGCGTGGTGCCAAATGGCAAAAGTTTCCGCGGTGCTTATTGCGGAGACAAATGACCGCGGGCGGTGAGCGACAGCTTCGACCCCCGCTTTCAACGCCGCAGCTCCATCGAGTGTGTCATGCATCTTAGATAGACGCTGACCGCATCGTGCCCCGTCACATTCTTGGACCATCCTTGTAGTCTTTGTTACACTGGAAGTCCTCTTCTCTTTTGCTTCTGAGACCCGTCCACTGCTTTTGAATAAGGCGTCATGGGTCAAGATCCGCGTGTCCTGCTACAAAAGGTGACAGCAGCTCCCACCGGTACCGTCCCAAGAGTTGGCTGACACTTTCGTTCTATCAGGCCGATAAAGCTCTGCAGAGCGCCTCTGGTGGCTTCAGTTTATTTGGCGGCCGAACGGAAAAATACGAAAATGCAGCAGATCTGTATACTCAGGCTGCGAATGCGTTCAGAGTCCAGAAGCTGAGTATGTCATTTCGCACATAAGCAAAGAACGGCGATCGGAACGGCGTCAGCTACCACAGGTTTCGGAACTGACGTCCTGCGAAACTAGACAAGGAAGCTGGTCTTGCGTTGGAGAAGGCCGCGGCCATCCAGTCCAAGAACCTCAACGAGCCGGACGATGCGGCCAACAGCTTAACTGAAGCTTTCAAGGTGTATCGCAAGACCGATCCCGAGGACGCTGTCCGGGTGCTGTCCAGCGCAATCCAACACTACATCTCCAAAGGCAACTTCAGACGAGCCGCGACCCACCAGCAGAACTTGGCGGAGGTGTATGAAGTCGAGATTGGCGATATGAAGAGGGCTCTGGAAGCCTACGAGAAAGCCGCGGAGTGGTTTGAAGGCGATAATTCCGAAGCGTGCGTGGAGGCTTTCCCCCTTGTTTTTTTTCCGGGAGTATAAGCTGACATGACCATCAATCTAGGCTGGCGAATAAGCATTACCTTAAGGTAGCTGAGCTTGCTGCTCTAGAAGGCGACTATTACAAAGCGATCGAACACTTCGAGAGGGTTGGCAAATCCTCCGTCAACAACAACCTGATGAAGTGGTCCGTCAAGGACTACTTTCTCAAGGCAGGAATCTGCCATCTGGCGGTCAACGTGCGTGAACAATCCAGCGGAGACGGAGGATCAAAATGCTAACATGAGTGATAATGCTTAGGATCTTGTCGCTACCAACCGTGCCCTCGAGAGCTACAGAGATATCGACCCAACATTTGCTTCCACCCGGGAGCACCAGCTTTTGGTAGACCTGGTCCAGGCCATCGAGCAAGGCGACCAGGAACTCTTCTCGGACAAGCTGTTGCAGTATGACCAGCTCAGCAAGCTCGACAAGTGGAAGACGACACTACTCCTGCGCGTCAAGAACAACATTGAAGAGACTGGCGAAGACTTTTCATAGTCCAATTCTTTCTTATCCCGTTATGTCCGGTCACGGTTGGTATCGTTTTGCTTCTATCATTTTTTTGTTCGTCTTGTACGTAGTCCCACGTCAGTTTAGATCAGTATTCGCTCATCATTCTTCGTTCATTTTCACCTATTTCTCCTTATTCCATGTGATAGAAAAGCCCCAATCTATATAACCTAATGGAAATGGGACAGTTTTATTTGGTACGCAGGGTAATTTCCCCCGAGAGATAATGATAATGACAGAAAAAAAAGTAACTAATTACACTTGATGGAAAAGAGTCAGACCCAACGCCCCGTAATGCAAATCCTCTTTTTGAAGAACCCTGATATTTTTACACAACGCCTTTCGTCCTTCATGTATATCATGACTGACTGGGTATCCGATCAAATGTGGTATGGCATGGCCTCCAAGAAGTAGTATAGTATAGTATAGTAAATATAGATAGGAAAGAGAGAAGAACTTCTTTATGATAGCGTCCGACTTCCCGGTTAGAAGTCCTTCTTGGTAGCAAACCTGGCGAGAGCAGGACCAAGCTCTTCTCGCTGGCGCTGTAGTTCGTTCTTCTGTCGGGCTGCGCGCTCCTTCTGGAGAGCTTCTGCCCTGAGGCGCTTCTCGTCGATGACGTTGGTCTTGCCCCTCTTGCGGAGATACTTCCTGAGCGCACTGTTCCGGCCCCGACCGCGGTTCTTGAGCTTCTCGATGGGATCTTCGGGCTTGCGGTCGAGATCGCGCTCTTCTTGGCGCTTCTTGTCGCTGATGGTGTCGAGGTTGCCGATGAAGTCTGGATCCAGGGAGATCATTTCGGGCTGCAGCTTGTTCAGCAGTGCCTTGACTTCGGCCTCCTGACGCTGCTTCGTGGTCTCGTACGGGTTCGCCTCTATGGCGTCGAAGTTCGGTTCTCCCGCGCCAGGAACGATGATGCTAGCGAAGCCCTTGTCATGAGTCACACCCAGAACGTCCTCGTACGGGCACCACCGGACCGTCTCGATACGCTGTCCATCGCCTCCCCAAACCATGTAGGGACTCTGGACCTTCTCCTGGCGGGCAGCTGCAGCGTCAAACAGACCTTTCCATATATTGACCTGGGTGCCCCAGCCCACGGCGGTCAGGCCGCGGTCACTGATCGCAACCGTTGCCCCTGGCTGGTAGCAGGAATATGAGTGCACCTCCTTGAACATGCGAATGTCCCACACATTCATTCTCAAATCCTGGCCTGTCGAGACCATGTACCGCCCCTGTCGGTCGATGGCGAGTGACCGCACAGGGCCCCGGTGGACGAGGGCCTTTACCAGAGCCGTCTGTGAGTTCGGCGACCACAGAGTCACCGTGCCATTCTGATGGCCTACATGGAGGATCGCGTTCCATGGATTCTGGCACAGGGCAGTTGGAGAGCCCAGTCGAGTGGGCAGCTCTGCCACTAGTTTTCCGATCGATGTGTCAGTGTATTTGAGGAAGCCGCTCGTCGTCTTTGAAACTCGACTGTTAGCGAGAACAACGGCAGTGTGAGATCAGTCCACTTACAGCACTAGCTAGGAGGAAGTGGTATGGCAGGAACTCCAGATAACTCGCCTCGACGTGTTTGTCGAGACAGTGCAGTTCCATGCCGGTGTGGTCGTAGATGTAGACATATTTCTTCTGCGCGACGGCAAAGAACTGGTTGTTGTGCAGCCATTTGGCATCGCGCACCGTCTCTCCGAGATGCAGCTCACAGCCCAGCTTGCCTGCTCGCCAATCCATGGTCGCGACATGTCCTTTTCGGCCTGCCAGCAGCAGATGTCTCCCGTTTCTTGTATAGTCCGCCCGGTAGGGACCAAAATCCTCCAGCTTCAGCTCAAATCCCTTCTTGGCCGTCTCAATGCCCACGTTCTCTTTAATCTCCTCCTGTCGGACTTTATAGGTCTTTTCCATCTCCGATTCGGGCTCGAGGAACCCGGCTTCATTCTCGAGCAGGATCTCGGCATCTTTCGCCTTGAGCGCAGCATCTCGATACCGTTTTTCCACCTTCTTTAGGTTGCTGCGGAGCTTCTTGTCCCTGACGCTTTGTACCGGAATTTCTTTGCCGCGTCCATATTTCTTTTTCGCTTCTAACAATCTCAGTTTCGCTTCTCGGGCTTGGATGATCTCCTGCGCCGACGGGCCGGAGGATGCGGCTTTGGGCGCCGCTGAGGTCGTCGCTGCGGCCATCTTGCTCTGGCGCAGGACGTTATTGATCTATCGCAGAAGGGCTTGAAGCCGCTTGTAAAAGAAAGAAAAGCAGGAGGAGAAAGATTTGTTTTGCGGAGAGGGGTGCTGTTTGCTAGATTGCTTTAGTCTTTGCAGAGCGGGTCTTCAAAAATTCGCGCCAAGATTTCACGCTCGCTTGTCCACCACAAGAGATTTCTTATCGATTAATTAATCTCCGCCCAAACTCTGCCTCGACGCAGCCTAAAAAGAAAAAAATAATAATCCGTTTTCTTTGCTATCGCATCTATCAAGCTGGGACGAGCGATATCGCTTTTATATAAAACATTCTATTCCTTTAAATAATAGATCAGTGACCATCCACACTGGCCTCTCTTCCCTTCCGGTTCAAAGGGTCCGGCGGTGCCAATATGGCACCCATCACCCAGCAGCACCACCACCGCAGCACTCTAAAGCAGACCAACAAGCCATTCAAGAGCAGACATGCCTCGAAAGGCGCGATCAAGGATCGCTCAAAAGGTATGTCTTTTTTGAAAAGTTTATTTTATGTCATGCTTCAGGAATAACACAACTACAGGAAAGGTCGAGATCGAGCGGGGTGTGCGCAGGACCCCTCACCAGCAAGTCATGTCGAAACTCGACCGCAGGAACCAGGCTCGCCAGAAACAATTGTTGAAACGCAAGGAGAAGGTTGAGGCCACCAGCATCTTTTCCGGCCAGAATGGCGCTCCTCGACATACAGCCATCGTCCCTCTCGCGGATACCATTGACATCCCCGCCGTCGTCCGCTCCTTGAACGAGAGCGTCGATGTTCCTGACGAGGTGTCTGTCGATGGGCCCTGCCGAGTGCGTATTGATCGCTTTAGACAGAGCTTGTTGTATCTTCCGGCGAAATACGAGCTGATGAGCGCCCTGGATGTATGCCGTTTGGCCGACTTCGTCATCATTGTGCTGCCAGCAGAGGAAGAGGTGGAGGAAGAAGGAGAAATCATACTACGGTCTATCGAAGGTCAGGGTATCTCGAATGTCCTTGTTGTGACACAGGGTCTCGACAAGGTCAACCCGCCGAAGAAACGGCCCCAGGTTGTCGCATCGCTGAAATCATACATCAACCACTTCTTCCCCACTATCGAGAAGGTTCTCTCCCTCGACTCGAGACAGGAGTGCGCAAACGCAGTACGATCGCTCTGCACGGCTACTCCCAAGGGCATTCACTGGAGGGACGATAGAAGCTGGATGCTCATCGAGAATGTCAAATGGCCCGAAGTCAATGCCAGCGCGGTCGACGATGTGGTGGTAACAGGGATTGTCAGAGGGAAGGGCTTAAAGGCAGATCGTCTTGTGCACATCCCCGGCTGGGGTGATTTCCAGGTGAAGTCCATTACAGCAGCTCCCCTGCCAAAGGCCCGGGGTAAGAAGGATGATGCGATGAACATTGATGAGTCCGAAGCACCTCAAGTTCTCGATAAGCCAACCGACGACTGCGACGATATGGATGTTGTTGCGCCGGAAGATATCGAGATGGATGACGACGTCCCCTCGGTTCCCGAAACGGAGAGGAAAGGTGTGCTGCTCGACGATCATCACTACTTTTCCGAGGAGGAAGAAGAGGTTGCTGCCCGGCCGAAAAGAGTGCCTAGAGGAACTTCTTCGTATCAAGCAGCCTGGTACCTCGATGACGATTCCGACTCGGCATCGGACATGGTGTCTCTGGATGGACAGGACGAGGACGGTGATGAGATGGCCATGGACACAGAGGGTCGCCCCGAGGATGGCGTGTTTCCCGAACACAACGATGCCATGACGGAAGCTGGTCCTTCGGAATATCCGCAATCAGAGATGTTCGTCGACCGATCACTAGACGAAGAGATGCAGCAACTGGAGGAGTACCGCGCCAGTCGCAGGAAAGAGGAGAAGGATGATCTGGAATTTCCTGATGAGATTGAACTGCATCCTAACGTCCTGGCTCGGGAGCGATTGGCGAAGTATCGTGGTCTGAAGAACTTCAAGACCAGCCGATGGGAGACGTCGGAGGATCGGCCATACGAGCCAGAAGATTGGCGACGCCTCCTCCAGTTTGCCGACTATAAAGCCTCCAAGAACAAGCACATTCGAGAAGCCCTTGTGGGCGGAGTAGCTCCGGGCACCCGCGTTGACGTCCACCTCCGAGCGGTGCCGGCCTCGCTGCGTGATCGACCATCGCCGCTGGCATTATTCTCGCTCCTTCGGCATGAACACAAGCACACTGTCGTCAACATCAACGTGACGATGAGCTCTAGCGTCGAGTCGCCTCTCAAGTCGAAGGAGGAGGTCATCATGCAATGCGGTCCTCGCCGTCTCCTTGTCAACCCGATCTACTCCGCAGCAGGGAACACGCCCAACAATGTGCACAAATTCGACCGATTCCTGCATCCGGGCCGCAGCGCCATTGCCAGCTACATCGGTCCCGTGATCTGGGGCGCAGTGCCTGTGCTGGTATTCAAGAAACAGCAGGTCAAGGATCCCGAAGTTCTGGATTCTGCAGATGCTGCCCCCAATAATAATAACGGCACCATCAACCGCCTGCAACTCGTCGCGACGGGCACAGTCGTCGCATCCGACCAGTCGCGCGTGGTCGCCAAACGGGTCATTCTTACCGGCCACCCATACAAGATCCACAAGAAGGTCGTCACGGTCCGGTACATGTTCTTCAACGCCGAGGACGTCAACTGGTTCAAGGCGTTGCAGCTGTGGACCAAGAGAGGCCGCAGCGGGTACATTAAAGAGAGTCTGGGCACGCACGGGTACTTCAAGGCAACGTTTGACGGCAAGATCAATCCGCAGGACGCGATTGGAATCAGTTTGTATAAGAGAGTGTTCCCGAGAAAGGCGAGGCCTGTGGAGGAGGTTGAAGGCTATGCATGAAGATCTCTCTCACCCTCTCTCTGTCTTTTTTTTTACTCTTTTCGCTTTTTTTTCGATGTTGTCTTTTCTTTCAAAGAAAACCTTTGTTCACTTTATGATGATCATGGAAATGTGGATATTAGAGGATGATATTATACCAGACATGTTGTATCATGTCATGCAATGAACAATAGAATATTCCTACTAGGGTACGATAGCAAAAATGGAGCCAAAGAAAAAAAGTTCTTGAATAAGCAAACAACCTCTCCCGTTACCAAAAGAAATAGTGGATTTAGATTTACATAATTTGATATTCCCATCCAAAAAAAATTCAGACACTTCCCGACCCCCTAACAGCGCCGTTCTTCCAGCGCTCCAGACTGACTTCGTACGCACCACCACTAGCCTTCCAGGCACTGATGATCATATTGACGATATGCTCGACGCCCTTCCCATTCTTGACCTCAGCGAAAACAGTCGGCCCGCCCTCGCGCATGCGACTCGCGTCGCGCTCCATGACAGCCAGATCCGCGCCAACCGCCTCAGCGAGGTCGATCTTGTTGACGACAAGCAGGTCGCTGCCCGTGATGCCGGGCCCGCCCTTGCGAGGCACCTTGTCGCCGCCCGCGACGTCGATGACGTAGATGATAAAGTCGGCCAGCTCGCGCGAGTAGTTCGCCGCCAGGTTGTCGCCTCCGGACTCGATCAGCAGCAGGTCCGTCTGGAACTGCCGCTGCAGCGACTGCAGGGCCAGGAGGTTCGCGCTGATGTCCTCCCGGACGGCGGCGTGCGGACAGCCTCCTGTCTCGATGGCGCGAATGCGCTCTGGGGCGAGGGCTTTGTTGCGAGTGAGGAATTCGGCGTCTTCTCTGTTGGCAGGAAAAGATGGAGTTAGCAGTCAGTACGTTGCGGCGTTGCGACGTTCTCCTTTTATAAAGAGATTCCTTTTTTTTTCTAAAAAATTCAATCGACAGATTCATGATGATAAAACGCACCTCGTGAAGATATCATTCGTCACCGCCGCAATGCTATACTCATCCCGCAATGCCCGACACAGCGCCAGCATCAGCGCAGTCTTGCCCGATCCAACCGGTCTGTAAGAAGAAAGTAACACAAAAAAAATGTGTAAGCTAATCCTGCTTTGCTGATCATCATACCTGTGGGTTGTTCGTGTGACAATGACAATGAAATTGCGTATGACAAGTATGTGTATGTACAGTACCACTTCCAATGGGAACGAACGAAGGGATAGTAAGTAAGAGGTAAGAATTAATTACCCTCCAATGCCAATCGTAAACGCTCTATCCTTCCAGTCCCGCCCGTCATGCTGCGAGAGCGGCTTCTCGCGATTGAGAAACGAACCGGGGCCGTCCAGGATCTCGTGCGAGTGGCCGTGGCCGCCGAACGCGTCGTGCGAATGCGAGATCCCGCCATTCTCGTGAGAGTGCGTATGAGAGGCTGCTGCTGGAGTTGCCATGATGATTACTGTATTGTTGTTGACGACGAGCTGTCTGTCCGTTTATCTACAGGGATGGTGGGAACGACCGTCCAGGGTCACACTGCGGGGTAGAGTAGATGACACCAAATTCAGATACAGCTCGATGTAGATGTTGGCACAGCAGTAAGATGAAGGGATCTCTAAGGACCGTGAGGCAGCAAGTACATTACGTACTGATCTAAGTACTTTGAAAATTCCTTATCTCGGAGTCCCCCGCTTGGTGGGGACGCGGGGCGCCGAAAGTATGAATATGAACGTACTGATCCGAAGTTAGATAATCATGATTAACTATGATTAGCAACGGATTCGACTAAGAAATCGAGGATCGACCAGTCGTCCTGTCTACGAGTTCAGTGCACGCAGAGCCGTCAATCGTATCGCCTTTCTCATGCAAACTAGGAGGCAACTGTAACGACGTTCCCTTAGGAATCACTAATTAACCACATCGAATCTGCTCATCACTGCTCCTCTGAACAGACCTAAAACCCATAAAGACAGGCACAAAAGCCTAACACAAAACCACACAAAATATCTCCAGAGAAACGTGACACCAGCGCCAAAAACATCGAAGCAATCGCAACTGCAAGGCACAGAGGTTAAAGATTCCCAATGTTAGGATGACAAACCCATAGCAAGATGCAGACGGAATCTGCAGGTAGGCGATTGAGAACGCTGGCGGACGCGCCTCGCCCCCGAGCTAGAGTACAGATCCACGTCATATGCAAGAACGAAACCCGCTCGAAATAAAAAAAAACCCGAACAAAACAGACGGAGAAGAGAAGACCACGCTACAGAACTTCCTCACTCGGGGTGAGACAGCGGCGCGTCGGATACCCGGTGTCGAAAGCCAACAAATCTGGTATCCTACCCGGTTCAAATCCAGTCCCAAACCATCTTCAACGTGTAGATCCAAAAACACACGATAGGGAGGAGTGAAGAGATCACAACAGTGGTAACAATGCGCGCCGTGCAGAGACGATAAACAACAGACAACAAGGGTAAACCTTCAGGTATGTTCCAGGTCAAATAGACAAAACTCCCTCAAAGAAAAACGACAAATGACAAAGTTGACACTAGATCCGATGATACGCCGGAATCCCCTATCCAACCCTTTTTTCTGGATTACAAAGAAACAAAGCGGCCAGAAACCGATGGCTGTTGGTCGACAACCGATCAAGCAGTGCCCTTCTGTCTTTTACCACCAACTCGGGGACTGGCTTTCACTTTGCCGGCACCAGCAGCCCCTGTCCCGTTGACATCGGCCGCACCGCCACCTTCGTCGCCCTCAGTCTTGACGGTGCTAGCCCGACGGCGTTTATTGGAGACATTGGGACTTGTGCTGACATTGGCTCCCTGATTTCCGTTCGCTCCTACCCCTGTCTGGTTCTGCTGCGCCACCAAGCCTGCTGGGCCAGCAAGATGGTTTTGAGCTGGACTTGGATGAGCCGAGTTTCCAATGTGCGGCGAGCCCTGCGCGCCGGGCAAGCCCAACTGAGCCACCGAGGGAGATGCAAATTGCGACGGCCCATTCATGTTAGGCGTGCGCTGCCCTTGCCCTTGTTGGAGCGCCGGATTCATCGGTCCCTGGGCGTACGCGGCACCACCCATATGGTGGGCGACCAGACTCCTTAACGCATCCATCGGTGATAATTGAGGGTTTGCCATTGCATACTGGAACAAGGATGTCATATGAGACAACGTCTCCGCGATCTACACCAAAAACACTTCTGTCAGCGCAATTCAATAACGGCGAAGGAAGTGATGCAGTGAAAAGATGTACCTCTAGGAAACTCTGGACCCCAGGAGGGATACCGTGTCCGTTCACCAGAGACTCAGGAATAACAATGTTAGGTTGCGAGGACTGCTGCTTCTGCTGAGTACGCTTGTTCACATTCTTCGCAACCCGGGGACTCTGCTTTTGGTCCGGCGATTCCTGCGGCTGCAATTGACTCCGGGGGATGTATTCATTATAGCTGCTAACAGAGAGATCGAGCATCTCAATCTTATTGTTGTGATCAAGAACCGCTCTCAAGGCACCGTTCACGAAGAGCTTTCAGAAGTTAGAACGCGTTGTTTCACAAACTGACAGGAGGGATGTGGGACAAACCTGACAATCATTGGTGAACCAGTATATGAAACTCGTCTTGGGACTTTCCACCACATGACCGCCGTTGGGGAGGTCCCTTTCCCGTGCAGTTTCCATATGGGTTTGAATCCGTTTGATGCCATTGTTGAACAAGGTGTGGTAGTAACGCGGCAATATAGGCGTCGAGACTTCGAATGACTTGGAGGAGCCAATTTGCGGGTTAACAACAACCTGTCGTAGCACGCCCGAAGCGGAGTAGAATCTATCGACAAACGACTGCCAATAAGCCAGATCATTTGCTTCCCCTCGACTCTGCATCATGATGTTAGCCACCCTTCCTAGAAAGCACGCTAGAACAGAGAGCGACTCACCGTAAAATTGTTTAAATGTTCCGAAAACATATTTATATAGGCAACCAAAGCTCCCTTAGTAGCATTCGCCCTCTGCTGCATCAGCAGTGCAGCATTCTGCTGCGCCTTGAGCTGGGCTTCTTGAGCAGACAGCTGTTGCTGCTGGTGTTGCTGCTGCTGCTGCTGTTGTTGTTGCTGCTGTGTGCTGC